TTGAGTCCAGTGAGTGTGTCTAGCCCTGTGACGCGCCGCCGCAGAAGGAGAAGGAGGACTCGTTCGGCTCGCCAGGCTCTGGTGAGTGTACCAGGACTCCTCGCCCTGCCGGCCCCGCCTCTGCGCCTCGCCCTGCCGGCCCCGCCTCTGCGCCTCGCCCTGCCGGCCCCGCCTCTGCGCCTCGCCTTGCCGGCCCCACCTCTGCGCCTCGCCCTGCCTGTCCCGTCTCTGCGCCTCGCCTTGCCTGCGGCCTTCAAGCTCCGGGAGGCTTTTTCTGTGGATTTTCCCAAGTATTTTTTGGGAGGGGGCAGTAGGTATCCTGTGAGGGTCATGGAGGCAATGTGGCCCTGGACTTCAGCTCGTCCTGCTCCGCCTTGGACTTCAGCTCTTCCTGCTCCGCTTTGGACTTCAGCTCGTCTTGCTCCGCCCTGGCCGTCGCCTGATCCTGCTCCGCCCTGGCCGTCGCCTGGTCCTGCTCCGCCCTGGCCGTCGCTTCGTCCTGCTCCGCCTTGGACTTCAGCTCGTCCTGCTCCGCCTTGGACTTCAGCTCGTCCTGCTCCGCCTTGGACTTCAGCTCGTCTTGCTCCGCCCTGGCCGTCGCCTGGTCCTGCTCCGCCCTGGCCGTCGCCTGGTCCTGCTCCGCCCTGGCCGTCGCTTCGTCCTGCTCCGTCTTGGACTTCAGCTCGTCCTGCTCCGCCTTGGACTTCAGCTCGTCTTGCTCCGCCCTGGCCGTCGCCTGGTCCTGCTCCGCCCTGGCCGTCGCCTGATCCTGCTCCGCCCTGGCCGTCGCCTGATCCTGCTCCGCCCTGGCCGTCGCCTGGTCCTGCTCCGCCCTGGCCGTCGCTTCGTCCTGCTCCGCCTTGGACTTCACCTCGTCCTGCTCCGCCTTGGACTTCAGCTCGTCCTGCTCCGTCCTGGCCTTGGCCTCGTCCTGCTCCGTCCTGGCCTTCGCCTCGTCCTGCTCCGCCCTGGACTTCAGCTCGTCCTGCTCCGCCCTGGCCTTCGCCTCGTCCTGCTCCGACCACGCTCTGCGGTCCAGGCCCGCCTGGGCTTTATCCTTGCCCGGTTCCCCTGCACGGGTCTGGCCCTCCGTCCCTCCCCCGGACCGCCTCCGCTTCACCGCCCACCTGAACTTTTTTTTGTTTTTAGGGGCGTCAGGAGCCGCCCATAGGGGAGGGGCTATGTGATAATGTTGGTTGTGTGTCTTGTTATTTTGTTATCAGTTGTCCCCTGTCTATTAATTATCCCAGGTGTTTATTATTTCTCACGCCCCCCTCGTTATCTGGTTTAGCTTGTTTGTCCCTCATTATTTAAGCCCTGTGTTTCTACCCTGTCTTTGTGAGTTCTTGTCTTATGTGATCTGTTAACGGCGGTGTTGGTTGTTCATGCTCCTGAGTCCAGTATGTTGTAGAGTTTGTAAATAAAGCGTGTGCTGCACATGGATCCACAGCCTTATCCTTCTTGCAACAGCACTAGCATCGTAACAGTCATAGATTATTTGGTTACTGGATTTACAGAAATCATGTTTTCTTAACATTGCACGTCTAATCTACTCCTGACGAACACATTGACTATTATTTGAATTATCACTTAAAATAGTAATTAATGAGTCATTTAACCATGTCATTTAACCGACCAAATGTCTACACGTCCCCATAAGACATAACACATAACCCACCTAGATGATGGATTTACTTTTGTTCTAAGTAGATCTGCCAGTTCCTACTTATACCTATGTGGAAACCTAGTTTTTGCCTATGATAATAGTCACTCCTCTATGAACTGTAGTTATAGGTTGCTCACTGGCCTTCCCAGGTTCATCATATGTTAATCTCAACAGTGGTTTTATTTTTCTCTTCTCAGTTACTCTGGTGCTAGGTACTCTGCTTTGACATTTCTTCCAGCATCCAGGTCTGTTTCAGAATCATCTGAATCCAAATCTCTCTCTGGATCTTGACTTTCATCATCATCTCCTTCATCAGAAAACAGTTCTTCAGCTGTTTGCACAGCTCAGGTTCTCTGTCCTCTTCATACTGCGAACGTACTGAGATTCCATCACGAGTTTCTCTCCTCCTCAGTAGGCGGTCCACATACTTCTTGTATGGTCTACTAGAATATTCAAACTCCTCTTCAGATGATGAATCAGTTACCTCTGGTATTTCGATGGCTTTCTCCATGAGTCTTGGGAACGTTGCTGGTGCTCCAGTTATTCCTTGTGGCATCCTTTCAAATGGTAAGAATCCCAACGGACATATTAAGGCGATTTTATCTTTATCCTCCTCTGCCATGGCAGTAGTAGCCACTACGTAAGTCAAGGACAGAAAACCATTTGCTTCCAGTCAAACAATCTAATGTGTTGTCTATGCGAGGAGTCGTGTACTGGTCTGGAGTCATACGTGATTAAGGGCCCTGTAGTCAATGCACATTCTAATATGCCCGTCTTCTTTCTGGGTATTACAATTTGTGATGCATACTGGCTCTGTGACTCCTTAATGATCCCAGCCTTTAATAATTCTTGCAAGTGCTTACGAACATCATCAATGTCTGCTGGTGCTAAGCGTCTTGACCGCTCTCTTAATGGCTTTTCGTAGGTCATCCTGATATAATGTTCCACATCCTTTACCAGGCCGACATCCCACTCATGCAACGAGCAAATGTTTGCTCGCTCACACAGCTTTTGGCAGAGTCGCGCTTTCCATTGTGGTGTTATGGGTGAATCTCCAAACTGGATCAGATGAGGGTCTAACTCTGCTGGCACAGATCAGTGTGACACAGTTGACCTAAGACAGTTCCAACTGGAATGAACGTTTCTCTCCGAGACTCATTTTGGATAAGTACAGTGAGGTGACCATCCACGGCAGTGCCATGTACCACCATAGGCTGCAACAGTACTCCGGCTGGCAATGCCGTAGCGGGTGATACATCCACCATCTACATGTCTTTACCATGTGGTTGCTTTAACACCACGTCACAGATAGCGCAGCATTCACCCCCTGGAGGTAAGGTTAGTGAGCCTGGGCCCATCCACTTCACGGATGCCACTTCACCCTCATCACTCTCAGTAATTGGTGTGTCTGTCCAAAACATGGGAGTTCTTGGTTCTTATGCCAAGGGTCTGTGCAAGGTCTACTCCTGTGGTCTCTCGGCAGAGCATAGACAATTGCTGGAACAGATTGGCATTGGTGCCTAGAATAACAGGTCTCTTTTCAGGGCTTTTGGAACTCAGACAAATCAGAGCAAGGACAGAGAGTATCTCTTTTGCAACCATGACTTTCTCTGGAAACTCCATTTCCACTACTACATATCCCAAGTAAGGGTGGCTGGTGTCACTCAGCCCCCATATCGCCAACCCTGACAATGGCTGAATTGGGATATAAGGTAAGTTCGAAGCCATGTCTCGAAGATAATGGTGATTTGAGAGCCACTATTCAGAAGTGCTTCACAGTACTGGCCATTTATCTTCACTGTTGTGATTGAGAAAGGGCTGATCAATCTCTGAGGAATGCTTCTTTTAAGGGTGATTACTTCGCTCTTCTTAGCTGAACATACTGTGTGACTATCTCCTGCCATTTCCAACGATGGATCATTTTGTTTAGCTCACTTTAGAGCGTGTATCAGCTTTTGTATCACTTTGGCCTGATTATCTGCATTCTGGCATTTGACAGAGTAATAGCTGCTCTCACCACAGTGATAACAGAAGTTCCCATCTGAGTCGTTATAGAACTGTCTTCTTCTATCACTAGGTGCTGGTCTCGATGACCCCACTTGAAGTACTGAAATAGGGGATTCAGAGTTCTTAAGTTTTCTGGCCAGTTAGTTGCTTTTGCAGTTCGTTCACTAGTTTTCTCAACACAGCAACTTCACTCTTGTTACTTATCTCTGGAGTGTGCATCTTTGTCATAGCCTCAGGTCTTTTGCGATCTGCTACTATCTGGCTTGGCAAAGTACTCATTGCAGTGAATATTGACTTGAGTTCCTAAATTTCTGTTCTCAATCGCTCTACATCATCCCGCCTACTGTCTGTAGTCAGAGTTGTGTGGACACTTCAGACAGAGGTGTTCAACTTAATCCTTGATGACTCATATTCTTCTTCACTATTGATCTCACTCAGCAAAATGTTCCTGTTCCAAGAATGATGGAGGGTTTTCCTTTCTCTCTTGGAGTTTGAGCTGAACAAGCATCATATCTGCGTGGATAGCTCCTCTTAGCAGCTGCTTCCCTTGGGCATGGTCAATACGACTGTTGGATAAACCTCTCAGACAAACTACTTTTGTCAATAACATTTCTATGCGCCTAAGATTCTAAGCGCCTCCTTTCGCTGCTGCTGTAGCAATCTAAAGGCAAAATACAGGTCTTCGCCAGTCTCAGCAAACCCAAAAGAACTCTCGATGGCTTCTAAGCACTAGGGCTGGGGTAAACGATTATTAATTAAACGATTAGTCTGGTGATTATTTTATCGATTAGTCGACTAATCTAACGACTAATTGGACAGTTATTTTAAGGATTTAAGGATTAAGGATTTTTAATGTATATCAAATAAATACTTATTTATTAAACACTTCATATAATAACAGTAACATTTCATTAAACAACAGCACTATTTCATTAAACAACAGCACTATTTCATTAAACAACAGTACTATTTCATTAAACAACAGTACTATTTCATTAACCAGTTTTGCACAGCAAAAAAATCTTCTGCTTTACACAAAAAACAAAATAAAAGGCCAGGTTGTTTACTCTTTTACAGTACCAACATAACTCTTGTTCAAAAAATTCAAAAAGTGTAGTGCAATAAAACCAAACAATGCATTGCACAGTACAGAAATTCCTGAGTGTTTAATACAATATAACAGTCCCAACATAAAACCTGATGGAATCGAACTGACTCTCTTAACTGCTATTCTGTAAGCTTTCATGCTAATGAAGTGCGTGCAATAGGAATGTCCACTTTCCTCCTCCCTCATCCATCACCACTCTTTACTCCTCTTCTACACAACCTACTCTGAATTACTGTGGAGGAATGTGAGCATGTCCACGTGCTCTTTGGTGAGGCTTGCTCTTTTTTTGCTCACAATGGTCCCTGCTGCTGAGAACAGACGTTCGGAAGGTGTGGATATTGCAGGGGCAGCCAGATAGGATTTTGCCACAACAGCCAGGGTGGGGAACTTCGTTTCATTTTCCTTCCACCATTGGAGAGGGTTTTTGTCCTTTGGAATGGGTTTCTCCCCAAAGTACACAAGCAGTTCATTCCTGACTGCATCTTCCCTCTGGTCTTGGCCTGGGTCTTCATCTTCCAACTCCTCTTCATCATCAGAGCCAAGCAACATGTCCAGAACACTAACAGACTTTGGCTTCTGTCTGGAGTGATCTGGCTGGTCACTGGGGGAGTCATCTTCAGGCTCTTCCCTGACTTGCACTCGTCTGGCTTCAAGTGCAAGGGTCTGAAGTTTGTTTTTCACCTTCGGGATGTCGTCTGTGGACAGGAACTTAAGCTTTCGGAATCTCGGATCAAGGGCCGCAGCGAAGATGCACACATTGTTACCGTCTTCATCATATGTTGTCTCAAACTTCCATCTTAAAAAAAAAGGATTTGATTTGCACACTTAAGATCAAAGAAATTCACGGTGCTTAGAGAGAAAGATCAATTTCTCAAACAGTAGAATCAATAGCTCTACATGATAGAATGCTAATGGGAAAACGTTGAAAGATGCAAACTGGGAAAGCTTAATTAAAATATTCAGTTAGTTTACTATGAGAGATTTAAAGAGCTGAATAATTAAACTAACCTTGAAGCAATCTCTGCTGCGGCTGTTGTTTGGAAGGTGGTAATGGGAGCAGACTCAAAGGCTGTCTCCGTGGACTTCTGTAGTCCTTTCACCAGTGGAGGTAGGACAGAGACCGTGACGTATGCCTCTCCACTTAGGTAAACGGTGGCTTGCTCGAAGGGCTCAAGTGCTTTCTGTAGCTCCTCCAGGAGGCTCCACTGGTCAGCTTTCATATCCATGTAGTGCTTTGCTGAATTGGTGACCTCTGGGTCTAAAAGTGTTGCGGTTACAGGCCACCGCTGCTCAAGGAGGCGTGTGATCATATGGTACGAACTATTCCATCTAACAGCTACATCCTGGGTCAACTTGTGTTGAGCTGTGCCCATTTGCTCTTGTTTGAGTTTCAACTTTGTGGTGGCGATCTCGCTGCAATGGAAGTACCCGACGAGGCTCCTTGCTGCCCCAAGTGCCTTGTTGATCCGGGGATCTTTAAGAGCATGGTTGACGATCAACTGGATGGTATGGCCAGCACATCGAAGTGAGGCAACACCATGCCTCTCCTCAAGGATTCTAAGGGCTTTCACCACATTAGCTGCATTATCGTGGACAATCGCCTGGACATCATCACAGAGAGAGAAGTCAAACTTCTCAGCAACCTCTTCAATCCAGCGAGCAATGTTTTCTGCAGTGTGTCGGTCCTGAAGGGGCTTTGTGCACAAAACTAATGAGACCATCTCCCAGTTGTCGTTGATGTAGTGGCAGGTCACTCCGAGGTATGCCTCGGTGGCAATACTTGTCCAGGCATTGGTGGTGAGTGTGATTTTTGATGACCTCTTCTGTAAGTCTTTTTTCAGATCTTCAAAAGTACTTTGATATGCCTTCTCCAACTGCTTTGTGAACCACCACCTGGAGGGACATTTGAAGCCTGGGCAGGCATATTCGATCATGTCTATGAAGGCTTCACCTTCAACAAGAGACACAGGCCTCATGTCTTTGACGATCACCTTTAAGATAAAGAAAACTGGTCTTAATAACAACGTAAACATAGTACCTTTCATAGAATCAGATGTTGTAAGAAGATTAATTATTAGAAAATCCAAATAAGGAAATAAAGAAAAGGGCCAAGTTAACTTAAGAAACACCCATAACCTTGCTAATAAATATAGGACACAAAAAAATTGGCAAAGCCATTCCATCCTAAAAGATGCTCAAAGCAAGCAACAGTGAGCTAATAATTACTTACTCTTAAGATCCTTTTGCTCAGTTCAGCTGCCTTCTGTGGAGTGCATTGTGTCTCTTTCCCAAGATAGGATGGCAAGGTTCTTTGCTTAGTCCTAGAAAACACAAAAGCAATGCATATTAGGACAAGAGCTTGGACAGTGGGGCATTTTAATTCTAGTCTTAACCTCATTGCATTGCGTTTATTTGAAAGTTTATTAAGTTTAAGTTTATTTTATTTACTAAGTTTATTTGAATCCTAACGTGGCTACATTTAAAATTAATGTTATGTCCAACAATGCATTTTTATCATCATGGTTAGGCTAGCCAGCTGATAACGTAGCAGCTGTGTCTCTGTCTTGTAACATGGAAATTGCAGTGGTGCACATTAAATCCACTGTAAAATGTTTGGTACTCAAATGAGCCCTATCACACTTGATCAAGAGCATATTTTAATGCTCATTTTAATGTTTTCAGTGCTCATAAAAACATCCATTCATTCATGAGCACTGCATACCAGCTTATTGTGCAGCTCATGATACTAAAAGCTGGCTAACGTTAGTCAATGATATGTAATGTTATGCAACTCGTAAACCACCACAGCATGAATTAAGGCTAACTAACTTTAAGTCATGAGTTAGCTAACGTTCGGCAGATAACGTTAAAAGCTAGTGCAATCTGCTTGCTACCGTTATCTAGATCTAGCAGCTGTGCACTTTGGTGGTGCTGGGCCAACCAAGGCATCTTAACTCTGAGCAGTTTGTTCGTGCTAGGTTAGTAGCTAACGTTCATGTTAGCAACTATAGATAGCGGTGTTCTGCAGCCGTAAACTTGCTACAATTCAAGCCAACTTTAGATAATAACTAACGTTAGCTACACAGATGTCTATGCACCAGTAAGTTACCTAGCTAACGTTCACTAACTAGCACGAACAAACTGCACGGAGAGCTGAGATGGTTAGCTTGAGCCACCGAATTGCACAGAGCTCAAGCTACAAAACACACTATCCAAACATGAAAATAATTCCAGCAACGTTAGTACTTACTTGTTTTTGTCTCCTTTACGAGTGACAATGGGGTGCCTTCGTTTCAGATGCTCCCAAATTGCTGTTGTGCTGGTGTGGTATGCCAACTCCATTTGGCAAAGAGCGCAAATAACGACACCTTTTCGTTTGGGACTAAATTTGAAGTAATCCCATACCTTCGATGATTTAGGGCGATTTTTTCTTTTGTTGGGGCTTTTATTGGTTGCTGTTTCGTCCTCCATTGTGTAATGTTTCGGTGTGGCGAGCTGTACATCCGCGAACGGTGCAAAACCATGTGCTAAACCAAAACAAACTTTGCGTCGACGCAAAAATATGACCAACGCGTCGCTACAGGCCTACTAAGCACACAGCAGGACTAACCTTTGGATCAGCATTCCGCACAGCCTTTACAACCGCAAGCGCAGGGCCTTTCAGACTTTCCATAATGCATCGTCGTTGCTCCTTATTTGAACACTCGCTTTCCTCGAACATTAGGTGTGCATGTTCCAGCCAATGTTCAAGACACTCTTCCCCCACTGGCGTTGGCACAGTTCCTGAGAACACTCTCAGTCGACTGTAACTGCTGTTTTCCCCTGACGGTTTCCCCATCTTGGTAAGCAAATCTACCTACTGCACAAATAATAGACTCAGCCAAGCCACTCTCTTGGGTTTCCTCCAACAAGCTCTTCAACGGCCTGGGAGGAGCAGGACTTTCAGAAGCAGCGACAATCCTCCAACTTTTCGTTTTTCCTTCGGGCAACAGCTCAGGAGGGACTTTGGTGGGATCCACCATCTCTTTGGACTCGCATAGCACTCTTTGGCTATCCAGCTTCAAACTGATTGTCCATCCTCTCACCTAATGCTTTGATGGTTCCTAGAGCGTCTTCGACCTGGGCATTTGCAACATCTTCTGGTATCAGTACCATGAGAGCATGGGCATCCACTGCTTGCCAGTTCATTTTAGAATTGATTTAAATATTTTACTCTTTGTTTTTAAATAATTAAATAATACTGCTCCAAAATACTTCTCAGGTCTATTACAGCCATATGTTCCATCCAGAGCACTTAGGTCTGCTGCATGGCCAACTGCTTTTGGTTTCTCCCAAAGCAAGATTAAAGAGCAGAGGGGATCGCGCCTTTGCAGTGGTGGCCCCGAAACTCTGGAATAATTTACCTTTGTACATTAGGCAGGCACCCTCACTTGCAGTTTTTTATATTACTTTTAAAAACTTATTTGTATAGTACTGCATATAATACATTATGAGAGTTACTTGTCACTTGTCTTTTTTTTTTTTGCTTTTGTTGTTTGTTATCCGTATGTACATCACTTTGGTAAACACCTGTTGTTGTACAAAGGTGCTCTATAAATAAACTTTGATTTGATTTGATGTAGCACCCCCTTAGCGTGTCTTACCTATTTTATTGAATTCCACTCCCCGAATTCCAAGTTGGCGAAAGATCTCTCTTTCTGTTATTAATTGTAAATACCAATGTGCATTGGTACCATTGTACCAATGCACCAATGTAAATAACTAACTTCTCATTATATGTTCACTTTTATTCCTAATAGTAATTTCAATTGGAAAATAATTATGTTACTTAAACACTAATAATGATGTCCACTCTAAACCAAATTATTATAGACTAAATTATATTACTTACTTTAAATATATCACTCGTATAAATACATATGACCAAAAATATAAAGAAAATCTTCACAGGAAATAGTTATCACATAGTAATCATAATTCACAATCACATTAGGCCTAAATTCCCCAAATTAAAAAAAAATAAATTCTAAATCTAATGCCGGCAAATTACTAAATGGCAATCAACATGAATAAACAAAATTAATACCCGGATAGTCAAGTATGTTGCAGGCCTGTTGTGTAGCTTGAGATCATTGAGACCTAAAACACAATGGTCACTTCACACCTTGGCGCAACAAACAAAATAAAACTCACGCAACAGAACTGTCACAGTCTCCTCCTTGAGCACTCGATACACTCCACACAGCAACCGAACAGACTACTCACTGGCAAAGTCCTTTTAGCTCGCTCGTGGTAATTAGCTGTCCACACTTTCTCCTCGTGGTGCTAACTATAGCCGCAAAGTTCACAACATGAACTATCACACTGTGACATATATAAGTTTCTGTAACTCACACTTCGCGCAGGATACAATGTCACTTATAACAATGAACATTAAACTTGGTGTTTTACCAACTTGTTATTCCTATTCTTACAGCTTAATCTTCACATGTCTCTCCTTCTCCTTTGTTTTTTAATTCCATCCTTCTCGTCGCGTTCCTCTCGACCTCTCCACCCTGACTTCTGATTGGATCTCTCACAGGTAAGCTCGGGATGGTGATCATAATTTGTGTGTAATCCTGAGTTTATCGTGATGGAAATATAAAAAAGCCTTACACTCCAACAATCTTTTGGAAACAGGGTGTTTTAACAGCTCAATTTGAACGAATGCGCCCATAGTTTACAGCTCCATTTCACCGGTGCAAATATCTTCTAAATGAATCAGATTTAGTTCCTGCTCCGAGTGTAAAGCCTAACGTGATTGGTTGTAGCGAGAACATACTACGAATAGTCAGCTCAATGTGGCCGTTATCTGATTGGCTTGAGGAAACGGTGGGTGGAGTACACTTATTTGTGGAAGTGTTTCAAAATCCACAAATACGTTAGGGGATTTACAAATGCACAGGAACCAATTCACAAATGTGTGAGGGGCAGTGTTGTGCCTGATTTTGGGCGAACGTGAACTGAACTTACTGTATTACTGTACTTAATAAAGTACTGTATTACTTGCGGTAACTGTAATTATTGTGAGAATATGGTTAAATCTGATACATTTATGGATGTTTCTAGTAATAAGACTTACACTCTTAACAGTTTTATAAATTGCAATATCACCCATGTTGTTTATCGATTAGAGTGCACTTGTGGCTGTTTTTATATAGGCCTTACTAAAAGGAGATTAAGAGACAGGGTAGCTGAGCATACAGTAGGTATGCCATCCAGACTGGAAATATGAATTATCCAATGGCCAAACACTATATAGACGCTAAAGATGGAAGGGATTCGACCTTACAAGTAGTGGGCATTGAGGCTATTCGCCTTGATGAGGCGGGGACATAATCAAACGCCTTAAACAAAGGGAGACATATTGGCCCTCATTTATCAAAAGTGTGTACACCACATTTCCAGCGTACACCTTGCGCACACTCAAAACCACGGTGAGTTTGAGATTTATCAATATGCACGTTGGCGTACGGCACGCTCGAATCCTACACCAGCTCAGGAGGTGGTGTACGCACGTTTTGAGTTAGTGAGGAAATGTGCAGAAAAATTCCTAACACCACAAAACGCACTGACAAACTAAAAGATATGATATATTATGACCCACTGTAAAACAAACAAACAAACAAAAAAACAACATATAAATTATAAACTTCAGTATTTATTTTTGTGTAATGTAGCAAGTGGCTCAATTTTAGTGACTACGCCACCCCAGGTTAACGGGGAAAATAAGCAAATAAGCACAAATATAGCACACAAATACGTTCCACCTAGTAAAGGCAAGAGGCATGGGCTTCCGTACAAAAATTGTTTTATTGACGTTAAAAGTTGATCAACAGTGCTTTAAAAACAGTAGTTCAAAGGTCATGATTGGCTTAAATACGGTCGAGAAAATAAGCAAAAAAAAACAAAATTCACAATAAACCTCACAAGGCTTATAATAAGCTCACCAGATTCTCAATACACTTTTACAAAATTAATAACACACTTGACTTAACGTCGGAGACTGAGGCTTCAGCACAGGAGCAGGCTAGTGTGCCAGCAGCAGGTCCACCATAAGAAACACGGCAACCACTCTTACACCCACCCAATTCACTGCAAATAGCCAAGGATAGTGACACGGCAATAATGAAACTGCAATAACATTCTCAGTGAACAAAACCTGCTGTAAAACAGACAACCAGCCCGCTCCAGGAGGGCCTCAGCTCCTAAAGGAAAAGAGAAAAAAAGAAAATAGATAAGAAACTGAAAATAATAATAAAAAAAACAATATTCAAAGTCAATTTATTGACTTTAACGTAGCAAAAACCAAAGAAAAAAAAAACACTTACACACCCCAAAAAGACAAACAATATAGAAATACTATTAACGAATTAAAGACAGACAATTCAAAATAAAAAAAGAACAATTGAAACAATTTCAAATGACCGCTGCAGGAACACACCCAGCAGTTATTTCAGACAGACAGTCACTCAAACTTACATAACTTGAAAACTTGGTCAACAAAAGAAAACAATAGTAAAGAAATGCCAACTAATAACAAAAAAAGCAAATAATCCTCAGGCCCGCATACACGCTTGACTTAAACGTATCGATGTGGAGAAAGCAGCAGCGTGGCTTCAAAGAGAGAGAGAGAGCGTGACGGAGAGGGAGAGCGCACCGTTTAATGCGACTGCTCACTTAATTAGCCCACTTTAGAGTCCACGAAAACCTTCAAAACAGTAAACAAGGAGGATTATAACTAATGAAGTGATCGACCAGTTACCCACCCAATAATGGCACAAAATACTAACCCAGTTTACCTACCAGAGAGTACGATCCAGTTACACGTCAACATATACCAGAGAATCATTTAACAGGCTCGTTGACTGAAACAGCTGGTGCTCCGATCAATTAAATTGCGATGCCACAACGATGGAAGCGCTGAAGGCACATCATACTGGAACAAATTGCCACAATCCAAATCAGGGAGAGAAAAAAAAAACTTCCCCCTACGCCCCGGGATGGTACCAAGCCTACCTGGGAGTAAGCAGCAACCCACACGCACAAACCCTCAGCAACGCAGCAGGACACTCAGTCGGTGTTTACAACGGAAGGGGCGGGCTTGCAACCATGACGCACACCAAGATGCCTGAATGAAAGGTTTATATACCCCAAATGGGCAATTACTAATTGGCCACCTACCAAATTGTACTGACGTCACACGACTTCACTACAATCTACCCCCTACTTTTGTGTCGTCGCCCCGACGATAGATACAAAGAGAACATCAGTACCAAGGCCTAAACAACCCAGAACTAATACTAGACACCGTCCCTGAAACAGATACCTCATCCCTTACATTTTCCACTGCTCGCGGAAGATGATGGATGTTAGAATGTTGCCCCGCTGTGGCACGTCTCGTTCGTCGCACAGCCTCAGCACTATCCCTAGACTGGTCTGAGGAAAGAAAGATGGATGTGCCAGGAAGACCCAAATCCACGTCATGCACCAAATTGTTTACAGGAGGCAAGGACTCTACAGAGGGCCCCATGCCTTCCACAGAAGGTGGCACTGGTGCTACTGGAATCATGCAAGGTGCCGGCAGGTCTGACACGGCCGGCAAAGCCTCTTCTACAGCCACCCACAGATCTAAACTGTCGGCGTCCCCTAGTGAGGACGACGGGCTAACTGGGGGGCTAGCAGGGCACTCAACAATTGGGGGGTCTTGCTGTATTCGAGGCTTCATCAGGGAACGATGAACACGCTTAACTTTTCCCAAATCACCAGCGGGTGCAACAGTATACACAGACCCTCCATCTTTTGGTGCCCGCAGTACTTGATGCAACACCGAGCTCCACAGGTCCTGGATTTTATGACGACCTCTCACGCTATGATCACGGAGATAAACCAGTGTACCCTCCCTCAGTGGTGCATCACGAACATGTTGATCGTGCCGTTTCTTACGGTACTCAGCAGCCGCCTTTAAGCGTTCCCTAGCACCCTCAAATGCCACTTGCATCCTTGCTCGATGCTCTACGATCCACTCATGGACCCCGCCCTCCCCAGGTTCCTGAACCCTACCCAACAGAAAATCAACAGGCAGTCTAGGTTCCTGGCCAAACATCAGGAGATACGGAGACTCACCGGTGGACTGATGGGGGGTGGTATTATAGCAGAACAGGATCTGCGGAAGGCAAGACGCCCAATCCCTTTTCCTAGAAGCTGGCAGAGTGCGAAGGAGGTTATGAAGGGTTCGGTTGAACCGTTCGCACTGGCCATTGCCAGCTGGGTGATAAGGCGTAGTACGGGATTTTTCAATCCCATAAAACCCACAGAGTTGTCTCATAAGGGCCGATTCAAAATTCCGACCCTGGTCGGAATGGATGCGACCTGGGACCCCGAACCGGAAAAACCACTCTGTGACCAAAACTTGTACAACGGTCTCGGCCCGCTGATCTCTGGTCGGAACGGCAAGGGTGTATTTACTGAACACGTCTGTTAACACTAAAACATTCTCATGTCCAGAAGAAGAAGGCTCAAGCATGGTAAAATCAATAGCCAAGATCTCATTTGGCTTAGAGGCTAGGACATGGCCCATAAAACCCGGCCAAGTGGTTGGGTGTCCTTGGCCAGCTGACATCGCTCGCATTCCCGACACCACTGCGCCACTTCCGCCGACATCCCTGGCCAATAACACCGCTGCCGTATTAATTCTGTAGTGCGTTCAACACCCTGGTGTCCATGGTGCTGGTGCAATTGGGTCAATACATCCCGTTTTAACGCTACTGGTAAAACCAACTGTAGCACCTCCTCACCACCATCAGGGCGTGACACACGGCGGTACAATACCCCATTTTTCTTTACGAGACGATCCCCTTGCCGAAGCAAAGTTAACACAGACTTGGAAAGATTTTGGCGCTCTGCAGAGCTGGGAAAAGACCCCTGTTCCCAAAACGCCAAAACTCTCTGAATATCAGGATCCGCCTCCTGTAAGGAGCTCAGGTCTTCGATTGAGAAACTGGGCAAAGCGGTGATCACTGCCTGATTGACCTGTACTACTGGTTCTGCCTCAGCTGCCTGCCTTACCATTGCTGGAATAACGGTCCCTGGTAAGAAATTATCACGTGTCTCCTGCGAAAACTGGTGCTGTCTAGAAAGAGCATCCGCATTCCGGTTACTTCGCCCAGAGCGATACCGGACCTCAAAGTCGAAGGAAGCCAACTGGGCAGCCCAACGTTGTTCGGTGGCTCCCAATTTAGCAGATGTCAGGTGGCTAAGGGGGTTGTTATCCGTGTAAACAATGCACTTCTGTCCCAGTAAGTACTCCCTAAATTTCTCTGTCATGGCCCACTTGAGCGCCACGAACTCCAATTTCATGGAACTATAGTTGGTCATGTTGCGCTCAGTGGGCCTAAGACTGCGGCTGGCATATGCTATAGGGCGCACCTTATCTCCGTGTTCCTGCGAGAGGACCGCGCCAAGCCCGCTTTGGCTAGCATCCACCTCGAGAATAAAGGGCCGGGAGAAGTCTGCATAAGCTAGCACTGGGGCGGTAGTAAGCCTATTCTTCAATTCCTTGAAGCTCCCCTGACACTGCTCCGTCCAATCCCCTTCTGTAAACCCACGAGGAGCCCGCTTCCTAGATCCCGAACTAGAACACGCCGCCACCAGCTTATGCAGGGGGCCAGCCAATTTGGCAAACCCCTCTACAAAGCGGCGATAATAGCTAGCGAAACCAAGAAAAGAACGCAGCTCCCCCACATTAGATGGACGTCGCCAATCGGCTACAACCTCAATCTTTGCAGGATCGGTTGAAACCCCTTCGGCCGATATGACGTGACCCAAATACTTTACTTCTCTCTGGAAAAACGCGCACTTGCTTAACTTGACCTTGAGTCCTTCACGTTCTAACCGACTCAGGACAACCTCTAAACGCTCCAGATGTTGAGCTACCGAGGTAGAAAATACCACCACATCATCCAGATATAAAAGCAAAGATTGACACTGCTGATCCCCGAATAGCCGTTCCATCAACCTCTGAAAGGTGCCTGGGGCATTGCACAGGCCAAAGGGCATACGGTTCCACTCAAAGAGTCCAAAAGGTGTACAGAAAGCCGTCTTAAACCGATCTTTCTCGTGACGTCAGTACAGTAACGTGGACTTCAATGTTTAATTTGTGTGACTTTACCAAAGCATTTGATTTGTAAGCATATATTCCTTCAGTTGCGAGCCCGCTTTACCCTGACGTTTCAGGATTATCCCCGGCAGGTGCGCACGGACTGGGTTCGGTAGCCTAAAGAAAGGCTTTCAATGACCAAAAAATAATTCAGACTGACAAAATAATAAAAAATACATTCTTCTTCTTTTAAATGATAATAATAATAGAAATAATAATAACGACATCCTTCTTCTAAATAACAATAAGCATCATTAATGCAAATCATAATAATAATAAGAATACTATTACAAATTGTCATGCAATTATTAATATGAATGAATGGTACTTCACATCACATCATCATCATCACTATTATACATGTGACGTGATTCGAAATTGAATGCTAATTTCAAAAGACGTGCTGTAAAATAATGCATTGTGATAGATCATTTCGGCTCCACGTCGGAGAAGTTTCTCTTCTTTGCCGTCTTCCGTGTGTCCATGACGTAAAATAAGGGCGTGGGGGGGGAGCGGAGACTTGAATATTTAGGGGCGTGTTACTCTAATGACGATCGGTTTCGGCCGCGGGATTTATCAAGGGCAGGCAGGTACGCACATCTTCATAAATCAGGCGGTGAGAGGAGTGTAAGCATAATCTTACACCAAAATATACACCCGTTTCTACGCAAGATTGATAAATGAGGGCCACTGGATCTATTCTTTGAGGGCCACTAGTCATCCAGGTCTCAATGAAGATTTTGACCTTTCACCTTTTTTGTAATTGTTGTGCTTCAATGGGTACAGTGTTTTGACTAGTTTTTGCCATTTTCGATGCCATTTTCTGTCTATGTTTTTTTTAGAATCATCTTGACTTTGACATTAGAATTATGATGGGTAACTAGCCTATTCACATTTAATGACATATGTTGTGTGGCGTACACTAGATGTTTGTAGTGGTTTCACTCCTATTTTTCCACTTCAAGCCTTGTACTTTTATGATGTAACTTCTGTCATTAGACATTACCTGAACTATTGCCTCAAGTGGCCAAAACTTGTGTTGCAAGTGCCAGAGTGTCACAACTGAAAACAATGGAACCATAATGGCTCGTTTCCACTGAGGGGTACGGTGCGGTACGGTACAGTACAGTACGGGTCGGTTCGGATACACCATGATCAGGCTTGCGTTTCCACCGCCAACAGTACCCTTACTTGATAGGCGTGGTATGCTGGAAAGAAGCGATCGACGTCATTTTCGCGTGAAGAAAGCGACATAGTAAACAATAATGGATGACAGACAGCAGATCTTGTTCTTGCTTCTCAGCATGTTTGTCACTAGAAACAAGCGCTGGCATTAGGCGTTTCTATGAAGCCAACGCAAAGTCCGACTCAGCAGAATGATCCCGAGGACGCGAGTCCAGTAATTCTGTTAATGGAACAGCGCGTTCTTGAACGGAGCACTCTGCTCGCTCTGGCTATAAAACTCCGGTTATCTCTGTATGTTCATTTTAGGCAACAATAAAACAAAATATGTTATAAAACACCACTCTGCTTCTTTTGGATTTCATTTCAATACTTTATAAACATTCTAAAGTAGGGCTGAACGATTTTGGAAAATAATCTAATTGCGATTTTTTTAACCAATATTGCGATTGCGATTTAGATAGCTCATGATCCGATCTACTTTTTTTCTTATTAGTTAATCTTAATAACTCTTAAAATATGTATTTAATTACATGTGTAAAAACACATATTTTAAAAAATAAATATAAAAAACATTTAATTAAACCAATTACATGTTAAGAATTTTAAATAGGCTATATAAAATAATATCATAGCTTCAAAATATAAAAGCTAGTAAATAAAGAGAAACAACAAAAAAAACAAAAAAACATTACAAGCAATAAACAAAGAGTGCGCTCAGTATTTAAAAGTAGGCTGTCTGAATGTTTTTCATTCAAGA